GAAATCCTATAAGGCACTGAAGTCCCCAACGACTGTCCAGGAAGACAGCTGAACTAGAGAATGCAGTTCAGTCGGTAACACAAATAACAGAGGCTACCAGACACACCCATATATGATAGTTCTAAAGTTGAAAATTGGGTAATATTCCAGAGATTAACCTGCTAAATCATCATTTCCCAAAGTAATTGTAACTGGTAACATCCACTGTTCTCAGCAGGGATTTAAGTACTTTAAGCCTCAAAAGGAAAACAATATTTTCATTCACTACCATGTACTTACTGATATCCTTTAGCTTAGATTCCAAAACTTAGAATTCAACAATCTATTTGGTAAACTAATTTACTTATTTGTAAAACTGAAAGAGTATCACTTGGGATTATTGCATTCTGGTTTTGTTTGTTTTTTTCAAACAGGGTCCCTCTCTGTACCCCCAGCCCCAGCCAACCTAGAACTCACTATGTAGACCAGAATGGCCTCAATCTCAGAGATCCTCCTGCCTCTGTCTCCCAGAGTACTGAGATTAAAAGTGTGCACCAACAGGCCCTGTGATTACAGAGTTTTAAATGTGATGATTTTTAAGTAAAAAATTTTAATTTATTTTGGGAATGTATGTATATTTGCATGCATTGACATGGTGCACGTGTAGAGATCAGAGAACAATCTACAGGAGTCAGTCTTTCCACCATGTGGGCTCCTAGGATTGAACTCAGGCTTGGCAGCAGGAACCTTCACCCACTGAGCCATCTCTATGGCCCTGAATTTGACAGTGTGTGACCTGGCACAAAAAAGATTCTAAAGAACTGAATGTTGAAACCTAAAAGCACTGGCGTTGAATGCTGTACTTTACAAGGACCCCAATCACCAGATCTCTACACTACCCTACTTACTAAACTCATTCACTCTACCACATTAAACTATGTATCCTGATTTCTAGTTAGTAAAAAATTTTAAAGATGCCAGGCATGGAGGCACATGCCTTTAATCCCAGCTCTCAAGAGGCAGAGGCAAGCAGATCTCTAGGAGATCAAGGTCAGCCTGATCTACATAGCAAGTTCCAGGCCAGCTAGGGCTATAGGGAGACCATGTCTCAAAAAAACAAAAATAAAATAAAAATGATGATTCTCCAACTTCCATCTAATACACTATATAGCTGTTGGACTAGCACAGGGGTTTTGAGGGTGGGGTTGATCTAATTAGGTTTCACTTTAACTGAAGTTTCACTCTCTCCAAAGCAATGGCTAAAAATTTATGTAGTGTCCTCTGAATCTTATTTGTAAATGCTTTTTCTAGAGGCTTTATTGACTTCCAGCCCATATTCAAATAAAAAGAACTGGTCAAACTGTAAAGTAAATCCCTATCAAATTTCAACTTTGTGTCTCAAAACTGTAGTCTTTAATTACTACTAAGAAAAAAAACTTTAAGGACAAAACCAAAAGTTAGTTCAAAAGAGGATGAGGACATAGCTCATAGTACAGCAACAAAGGGCCCTGTGGGGGGAAGGGGTGTCAATCATCAGTAAGATAAAGGAAAAAAGTTTAACTTAAGAAAAATAAATACAATTTCCCTTACAATTTTTAGCAACTGTATATACACGTATATGAAACTGACTTTAAAAAAAAATTATGTGCTGAAGCATTCAAACATTTACTCTTTCCCTAGTACCACCAAAGTTCAGCCATGTTGTAAATGGTTTGTGCCCACAAACTTGGTTGGTTCAAATTAAATATTACTTGACTGACTCATGAAGGGAGTGGTCTGACTTCTGTTCTGAGTCAGAAAATACCAGAGTTCAGCAGTTCTAAACTATTTTTCACTTGTAAAGGTATTCTAAATCGCCAGCCTTTCTAGCTAGTAAACGTAACAAACTCTTCTCTTGGTGGGGAAAAAAGGCTTAGCAGTAATACTTTCTGGTCTGGAGTTCAATTTATAATTAACAAAGTGCTTTCACATACATTTTCTTACATGAGCGTAACAATCTCTTGATTTAAGTATCCACACATCCCTAGAGAAAAACTTTCACAAAGTGGCAATTTCCAGTTGACTCTTTAGCTCCAATAAACACCCCCCCACACACACACAAATCCCAACACTGCTGCTGCATTTCTTTAATCAGACTTTTCTCTCCCAGACACTTCCCAGGTGCCTCATAAAAACTGTCTCAAAGCACACACACCCTGGGGCCCCAAGACTTTCAAGGCAAAATCTCTCAAATAAAACCCTAGCTTAGGCCCCAAAGAGCCTCAAGCCAGCATCTCCTAAAATGATCCTCTTGGCTCAAAGACATTTTCTTCTCCCTAAGTTTCCACACTCTCATCTGTGCAAACTGCTCGACCACTGCATGAACAAGAAATCTCAAAAGTATTTCTCAAAGTCAGACAAGCTCCTGATAGAACAGCAGAAAAATGAGGGGCTTTAGACCAAGAACGAAAATTTTAATCCAATTCTTATTATCTGTGTGACCTGGGACAAGTTACTGAACACAGCACTACACATTTATTGCTTCATCTCATCACTAGTAAGTCCCTATGGCCAGATCCCTACTGCCTGGCAAACAGAACTCATAATGTGTCAAATGAATGCAAATGAAGATACCTTCCACCTTTATTCTGGTTGTGAGAATTAAATAAGTATTAAAACTACCTGTAGCAGCCGGGCGTGGTGGCACACACCTTTAATCCCAGCACTCGGGAGGCAGAGGCAGGCAGATCTCTGTGAGTTCGAGGCCAGCCTGGTCTACATAGTGAGTTACAGGACAGCTGGGGCTACAGGGTGACCCTGTCTCAAAAAGACCAAAAAAAAAAAAAAACTTGTAGCATACTAGACACATACTACTAATTAATCCTTTCCCCCAATGAACAATACTATTTCTGAAAACAGTGTGTGAGTTATTGAGAAAAAGGGCATTAAGAAAAATCTTTTCAGCTAGAAATGGAAGATCAGCCCTGAGATCCCAACACTTGGGAAATGGCAGCAAAAGGACTATCACAAGTTCCAGGCAGGCATGGGCTGCATAGTGCATTCCAGGCCAGGCTACCTAATGAGACTGTCTCAAAAACACAAATAAGGGACTGAAGAGATGGCTCAGCCCCTAAGAGCACCTACTACTCTTTCTTTCTGAAGACCCAAGTTCAGTTGCCAGCATTGATGTCAGGCAACTCACATCTGCCTTTAACTTGTGGTCCCGCGGGCCCAACACCCTCTTCTGGCCTCCTGGGGCAACTCCATACACATGGCATACACACACACACACACACACACACACACACACGCACACGAATAATATAAACAAATCTTTAAAGCACAAATGTGTAGTTTACGTAAGGATATACACACATTTATTTCACTTTTAACAAATACATTATCAGATACTTTATTACATATGTAAAACTTTTAAGCTCTAGAAACACATCATTGATTTTTGCCTGTAATTCTATTATATTCACTACTAAAAGATCCACCTTTTTACACATTTATTCCCAACTTTTGTGGTGATGGTAGCAGGGCCTCACAGCTCTACCACTGAGCCATATCCCCAGTCTCTTTTTTACTTTTTATTTTGAGCCAGGGTCTCACAAAGTTTTCCAAACTGGCCTTGAATTTTCCATCCTCCAGCCTACTTTATACACCTACAAGCCTAGCACTTGGGAAGGCAGGAGGATCAGGAACTCAAGGCCAACCTGAGCTATTGCATAGTAGTTTGAGACCATCCTGAGCTACATGGAGACCCTATCTCAAAATTTTAAAAAAAAAAAAAAACAGCAACAAAAGAATCCTTACTTCAACACCACCAGATGGAAAAAGTCCACCAACAATTAGTCCATTCACCCCCAAACTAAAACTGTCACGAAAGGAACAAAGCCCTGATGTGTCCTTCTGTAACCTTTATTTCCTTTTGCACACTAACAAGGCTTAACTTCACTTCCGGTCTGAAACTGCTCCGTAATACAGAGTATTGAAACAAGTAAATAGCATCTACTAACCCAGCAATAGTGATAGTTCAGTGACTCCAAACTGACAAGCCTTAGCCGAGGGTCTATAATGATGCTAGAATTAGTCGCTTTATATTTTCCGACAAGTCCAAGGACATAAAGGGATGGCTTATCACTTCTTTATAAGTATTTATACTACTATTTCTTAGCAGTTTTCCTCCAGCAGGCTAGCAAAAGAGCAACAACCTAAGATACTTCAATTTACCTAACAAAATACCTTCCACCTGAAAACTAAGCAAAAAAGAAAAGAAAAGAACCTAAAAAAGAACTGATGCTTCTGAATACCCTACAGGCTTAAGAACTCAGGATCGTGGGCAAGAAAAGTCAAGCTTGTGTTAGCTCTAGGGGAGTGGGAGTGGAGGAGGGGAACCTAAGATGGGGTGGCAAACACAACTGGGGCAAATTCGGAATTTTACATCAATTTTTACGAAAGGGATACTGAAAGCACGGTGAGAAAGAAGCGCCCGAGATCGTGGTCACTGCTAAGACTCCGAACAAGCTCTTACTTGACCGCAACTCAGGGATCCCATGCTTCTGCGCGAGTTGGACCCCAGACCCCGAGGTTCACCACCAACACACAAAAGACCGCGGGGAGGGAAGGGCCTCCTGGACGCCTCTGCTCGCAAGCTGGCCCAACGCACCCTTGCACACCCCTCGCCTGCCACTCACCTCCCCACCGCCGCACCCACACACTCCCCCCACTCGTGCCGTCTCCCCCACGCTCGCTCGCCCTTGGACTCCCCCGCACTGGCTCTCGCCATACCCTCACCCCAAGGACACTTGCTCGCTCCACGCACACATGCGCCCAACATTCTTCCACACTCCGGCCGGCCCGCCCGCCCGCCCGCTCACCCACCTCGCGCTCCACGCCGCCCGCCGCGCTCCCCGCCCCCGGCCCGGCCCTCCTTCCGGGGACGTGTCTCGGGCCTGCTCTAATGGCAGCGGCGCCTCCCGCCCTCCACTGCCAAAGGCCCGGCGTCGTGCGGGGCCGCCCGGGAGGGGCGCACTCACGCTGGCGAGCTGGGGACTGGGCATTGAAGTCCGGCGGAGGCGGGAGCGAGGAGGCGCCTCTCTCCTCAGTCACCTCGGCGGCGGCGGCGGCGGCGGTAGCGGTGGCGGCGGCGGCGACGACTCCCC